CTGGCATACAGCAGGTGCTCGATAAATATTTATTGCAAAAATGAATAAAGATTAAACAGGAATGATAATGTCCTCTGTATTAGATACTGTTAATGCCCTATCTAGACTCCCTCATCAGGCCAGAGCACCCAGCAGTTTAAGTATTGGCTGTAAATAGCTCTTAAATGCCCCCTCCTCTGAAGAATTGCCCTCTGCCGAACTGGATCATGGGCTCACTCTGCAATTCCATCCCAGGATAAGCCTGGACTGATGACCGATGGACCCAGGCAAAAAAAGGCCAGCCCCCTGCACCTTACCATAGAACCCGCTCTGAATTGTAATTCATGCCCCAGAGCTTCCCACCCCATGGGATCAGGCCACATCCTTGCATCGCCCCTCCCCCACCCTGCCCTGCTTCCCTCACTCCCCTTCTCCTGAGAGCAACCTTCAATAAAATAAATCACTTTCCCAAGGATCCCTGTCTCTGGCTCAGCTTCTAAGGGAACCTGACCTAAGACACATGCCTTGGGTGCCTCACTGAAAGTAGGATGGATGGACGTTTAGATGGGTAGATGGATGGATGATGGATGTTGGGATGGATGGATGTTTGGCTGGATACCTAGAAACTGCTTTTGTATAATCTAACTCCTTCATTGGAAAGACGAGGCGCCTGAGTCCCAGGGAGGCTCCGTCCAGAACACAGGCCTCCAGAACTTTCCCTGTCTTCCCCCACAAACAGCAGCTGCCTCCCCTTCGGCTCCACCTGTCCCTATCATCCCGAGGACCTGGCAGGCACGCTATCCTGGAGTGGACAATCTCCACACTCAGAGCCCCAATCCTGGGCTCAGGCCCCGGTGGCTCATCCAGGGTGGGGCCTCTTTCTGGAAGGCCTGCAGAAGCTTCTGGGAAAGCAGCCTTTCCTCCGGTCAGTGGGCCCAAGTCAGCAGTCAGACCAGATGTTTTGGTCTGAGTTGTCTCAGCTGGAGAAAAGCAACAAAGAAAAGGGTGTTGAGCAAAAGATGGATTTACCCAGGGGAGATGTTTTCTCTTTCATCTTCTGACTACTAATTAAAGCTTACAACTATTTATCTCTTACTGTTTGCCAGGCATTGTGCTAAGCTCCTTATTTCTGGTGTCTCTTTGAACCTCAAAACAACTCTGTGAGGCAGGAGAGATCCCCATCGCTCAGAGAGGGAGACCTAGACGTTGAGAAGTTGAATCTTTGACTAAGGTCACTAAGCCAGTGTGTGGCGAGCCTGGGGTGTGGACTCGAGCTGTCATAACACAGTCACAGTACCTTGCTCAGTTCTAGACCCAAAAGACTTCAAGGCTCTTGACATGCCACCCAAAACTCTAAACTCCTGAGACCAAGCCAGCCCAGGTGGGTCTCTGCCCCTGACTGCCTGTACCATCTTGTCACTTGATCCCATCCAGAGAATAGTTTCCCTGTTCAGCGGAATGAGTGGGCACCTTACCTTTCCCCGAGGACTTGGCTCGGTTGGGTTTGGGAGAGTAGAGTGAACACAAGACCTTCCAGGGCCCACTGTGCTGGAGCGAGGCTTTCCCCGAGGGCATGAGGGCTTGCCTCTGCCCCTTCGAGAAGGAGAATTTGAGCCCAGGAGTCGGGGATCTGGAGGAGGAGGTGTTTTGGCCAGGGCTGGCCTCAGGCTGGGGAAATCTCCCATTTCCCTGTTTAGTCCTCTTTTCCATCTCAGTTTCAAGGGTTGGAGCTGCAGGAGGAGAAGCTGGGCCCAGCCGGGGAGAGGACGCTTGTTTTGGTCCAGGCCTGAGCTGGACCGTGTTCTCTGGGTTTCCCAGAGGTCCTTGCATCTTGGAGGCAGCTGGCTCTTCTGAGACCCCTGTTCTGAGGCCAGAGGCACAGCGCGGTGTGTTCTTGAGGACATTGAGGTAAGGTTCTTGGGGCTGGCGTTCTGAGTCGTGGGAGGGGGCTTTATGGTTGACCTTTTTCCTCAAGCCCAAAACACAGGGCTCCTCTTCCAAGCTTGCTGGCTTCACACAAGCCTTTTTTTCCAAGGAAGGCTCCCCATTGGCCCCCAAGAGAGGCAGCATCCTTTGAGAGGAAAGGATTTCCTTAGTTCCGGATAGCACCTCCAGTGCTCCTGAAGGACAGCCATTGGATGTCTCCGCTTCCCTCCTGGGAGACCCTCCTCTGCTCTCTTGGGAAACATCCAGGAGAGCCACATAATCTCCCTCCAAGTCTTGGCTGGCCACATCGTCCATCCTGAAGGCTGCCTCCCCAGGCCCGGCTTGCTCCACTTTGATGAGTCCTGGGTACTTGTTCCCATGTATCTTGCCCTTATCCTTGGCCAAGCTCTGGCCAAGAAGCATCGGGCTTTCCGGGGACCTGGCCTGGTGCAGCTCTTGAGGGCTGCTCGAATCGAGTGCCTCTAACTGAAAGGAATCCCCGGTCGGGGAGAGAATGGTCACTGCTTGGGGTCTGTCATCTACAAACTCTGGGCTGGTTATCTTGGTCCAGGGCACTGGGGCAATCCCCTCTTCTGAAGCTACCAGGCAGTTGTGTAGGGGACTTCCCTCAAAGTCACCGTTGATGGCCTCCAACCACTCTTGGGTGAAAAGTATAGGGTAGGACGATGTAGGAACAGGCTTTGTATCCACTGTGCGGAGGTCCACGGAGAGGCACTTGATCATAATGCAGACGGACTGCTCCTCCCGGGGCTCGACTTGTAGGTAGAAGTCACCCTGCCGCAGTAAGAGGGGATTGAGGGGTGCCAGGTGGACCACAACTTCATCCCGCAGGCACAGCGGCCAGCCCTCGTGCAGGAAGAGGCGGTGTGAGTAGGGGGCCTACAGAGAGAAGGGGACAGCGTCAGAGAATCTGGCCCTGAAAGCCCCACCCATGGTCTGCATCCTTCCTTCTCCCAGAAGGAATCTTGAACAGGTAACACAAGAGAGGTACTTAGAACGCAGCATCTGAGGAGGCCCCACACTCAGGCCCTGCAAGCCGCACAGTCCTGAGAGTGGGCACCTCTGAAATGTTGCACCTTTGGTGCCTCTATTCCCGGCCCTGACCTTGAAAATACTTGCTAGCCTACTGGCCCGAAGGAGAAAAGCTCTGAGTGTGAGGCGCTAGTTAGCAAGTGCCTCCCCCACGAGGATTGTCCTGCTGACTCGTGCTCCCCCCTTCTCTCCAACTGTCCAAACGTCCTCTCAGCCCAGCTCAAGCCTCAGCCCTCCCCGTTAGGGAGCCATGAGTTCCAAGGTCTGAATTGCTTATTTGTGCAAATAACTTAACTCCTTCGAGCCTCATTTTTTCTATCTGCAGATAGGAATAATGATACATATTGGTATTATTGGGCTGGTACGAAGATGATGTGCAATAATAATTACAATTTTCTTTTTAAATTCCTGATACAATCCCTGGCATATAATAGGTAGATAGATGTTCAATAAATATGAATTCCCTCTCCCTTTGACAACATTTCCTTTTGGGAAAACTGTGGGGCTTTTCAATTAAAAAATGAAAAGTTCATTTATTGCTTTTATACCCTTCTCTTTTTAAGTAGAGAGATTACAAAAGTGAAGTAGAAGCAACGCTGAGTGGGAAGTCAGGACATCGGACCCTGCCAGTAACTTGCTGGATGACCCTGAAAAAGACATTCCACTTCTCTGGGCCTGTATATGTATTATTTATTTGTTTATTTATTTCGTATTAGTGGTGACAATATAGCAAGTGAGGCAGAACTTTTAATTTTTTTTAAACAGAAGGTACCGACAACTCCGTGTATAGGTAGACACAGCAAGTCATCCCGTGGCTTGAGCCAGCCTCTACCTAGTGATCCCGCTTAGCTGAGCTTCTTCACTGGGCTGTGCGGGACCAGTATTCTACAGTGACACCCTGTGTCAATCACAGAAACAACACTCTACCAGACTGACAAGTCTTTCTCTGCCTGGCCTTTGGACAAGAGTCTAATTCCTGTAGACTGAGTAAATCCAGGATAATCTTATATAATTCGGATGTGTATGGGGTGACACTGAACTTCTGGCTAATTAAGCGGATGTTTCCTTGAATTATTAATTGGAGAAATAATGATGTCTGACCATACTTGTACCCCAAATTGATAAACTAGTTCACATCAGTTACATTGTAGATCTGGCTCCGTCAGAAAAGCTTCAAGAGTCTACAGGTTATTCTACCCTGTTCACTTAGACCTCCAATGTTTGCAATATGCTTTCCTCGCCTTTCCACTGAATGAGACAACAGCCCGGCAACAGCGCCGTGGTACAAATAACAAAGCACTATAGAGATGACAGTTATGACCATTTTATTTGACTCTCATGAGAACTCAAGGGTGCAGCTAGTTCAGGCATTATTATTCTCACTTTACTTACATGGAAATTGAGGCTTAGAGAGGTAAAAGAATTGGCTTGTAGGTCACACAGCTGATAAGCTGAAGAAGCAAGACTGTGCTTAGACCTTCACGTCTGCGGTCGCCTGTGTCTGTCCCCACTAGACTTCCTCTCAGGGTGGCTGGCTGCCTCTGGGTACTGGTGGTTACAAAGGCAGACTTTGAGGCTGGCACATTCTTATTTCAGATGGAGAAAGGAGGAAGTAGGATAGTAACAGGCAGCAGCTACTGAGCACTTACTGCATGCCAGGCTCCGTGCTGCTCGTGTCTGTGAGGTAGGTACTGCGTTATTAACATTTCCTCTTTCCACTCAAGGAAACTGAAGCTCAGAGCAAAGACATGATCCCCCACGTTTACAGTGATGAAGAGTGGATTTGAATTTGGCATTCGTATAGCCCTGAGGCCATACTGTTAATTTTACGCTACTATCCACTGCTCTGAGGTGACACAAATTCACCTATAATCAAAGTTGCCTATAATTAAAAGATGTAGTTTTAAAGGCCACATAAAAGAAGTGGGTGGTCGTATAGCTTGTTGGGGAGAAGAAATGAGGATGGGGAAGGATGTGCATGAAATAATGTAATGTGGATATGCAGGAGTTGGCTGCAAATGTTTCAGTGAGAATCTTCCTTCTCTTACAATAACAATGAATGTGTATGAAACTCTATATGCCAGGCACTGTGCTAAGCACATTAAATGAATGATTTTAGTTCCAATCCAATCATCTCTAATTCTGGCTCCTAAGCCTGAACTTCTAACACCAGAGTTGATTTCTTTTTACCACTGAAATGATGAACATGGTCCCACCTTTACATGTTACGCTTGATGTGCCTTGCCCCTGACAGGCATCAGCAATTCAGGAAAGGCTGGTGGGACCTAAGAACCTCTTAGTGATTCTTGAGGCTGGGGTGGTAGGAGGGTGAGCATTAAATAACAGCACAGCAGGGCACGGTCAGCAAATCTATGAAGGGTGTGGGCAAGTTCCAGCAGTGGGCATCTGAGGGTTTGGTCTCCAAAGGCCTTTCCCCACCCTTTTCTTAAAATAGTCTCCACCCTCTGACCATAGAGGTAGGTGTATGACTCTAGCCTGGCCAATCCTGGTACTCCATTCATCTGGCAGCAGTGATTGGTCCAGGCGTGGACATAGGACCCAAGCCTGACCAATCAGTCCCTGGGCTCCAGGCTTGTGGGAACGCCTAGCCTGTAAGAATGATGCTGGCAAGCAAGAAGCAGAGCCAAGAGATAGGGACCTTCAGGGGATTGATCAGTGAATTAACTCAGGTCTGAGGCCTGATCACCTTGCCTGGGTCTGTCATTTGCAGCCAATGAGTCCTGCCTAAAACACTTCTTTCCATTTTGCCCCAGGAGAGATCCGGGTTTGAAGAAGTCTCCTGGGAAGAAAGTGAGAGGCCTGAGGACTCAAGGGCTCCAGGAAAGGTCTGGAACATTCTCTTCTATTTCCATTGAAATTGCACCACTTCAGCCAAGGCAGCCTGATGATGCCCACAATGCCAGACCCAGGGCAAGCTCCTGGGGGCCAAGGAACCCACAGGGAACCCTTTATCCAGACCTTCCTCCCCGCTAGCGAAAGCGCAAATGTGATAGATTCCTAGATGTCAGAGAATAAAGGGCCAAGTGACCTTCCCGCTCCATTGGGAGGGCATCCCTTCCAACTTACACAGGCTGCTTCTCGTACTTGCTCACACAGGCGCTTGGCAGGAATCAGGAAGTCCAGGAGGAAGCTCAGCCCGTCCCCCCGGAAGTCTGAATCCAGTAGATGGAACACCTGTCCCAGGACAGTGGGTGCCGTGGCCTCAAAAGGAGGATAGAGGCCCGCCAGGGCATGCTGGATGGCTGTGTCCAGGGATGGGGGGTCCTGTAGGGACAGAGGGAGAAGATAAAATGTGATCATAGCAGTAACAATAAGGATAGTGCCCCCTTCCCCAGGCCCCATATGGCTAAGGCCCTCACTAACTCTCTGATCTCCTCTCCTGCCCTCTCCCCCTCACTCACTCCCTCCAGCCACACTGGCCTTTATTCATGTTCCTCAAACACACTCGGCACAATCCCACCTCAGGGCCTTTGCACTGGCTGTTCCCTCTGCCCAGAATATTCTTCCTCAAGACATCCTCATTCTCTCACCTCCTGCAGGTCTTTGCCTAAATGTTACCCGCTGGTCTAAGGCAGAGTGGAGAAATTGGGGGAGGTTGCCAGGTCAGGGCCAGAGGGAGGAGAGGTCACCCCACATCCCACCACCTGGCAGATCTGCAGACCTGCCATTTGAAGCTAAGCCATCAGTGGAGCCCAGCCTAGATCTGACAACCCCCAGTCAGCATGCAGGTGCCTAAGTGATAATAACTGATGGATGTTTTTTATTATTGAGTTTTGGAGTGGCTTTTTATATAGCAATAACTAATCGATACGAGTTGATATAATTGATAAATGAACTCCAGTGTCACATATCCAGCTGCCTTCTAGATCCCTCCCCTAAAGGCCTATCAGACACAGACCATCAATACATCAAACTCAACTCAATACCTTCCTAAGTTTACCCCTGCTGCCATGTCCCTACCTCAGTGATGGCACCACCGTCCAGTCAGCTCCCAGGCCAGAAATCTGCTCATCATCCTACCCCCTACTCCTGCCTCCGTGGCCAGCAAACAACTCTCAGCCATGCCTTTTACAGTCTTCTCGCCTCCTGCAGCTCACCAACGTACTCCTTCTGCTCTGTTTCCCTGCCCCCACCCTGACCCAGGCATCTATCATCTGTTCTGTTGAATCACCTCTTCCTTGCCTTCCAACCTCTAGTCAGCTTCGCTTCCAGCCATTCTCCATCAAGACCTTAGAGTGACCTTTCTCAAATACAAATCTGATCTCGTCAGTCTCCTGCTCAAAGCCCTCTAATGTTTCCCACTGCCTCCAGGCACTCAGATGCCCCGTGACCTTGCCACCGCGTACCAATCCAGCCTCACCTCCAGCCTCAGTGCCTCTCTCATGCTTCCACCGCAATGACATGCGCATTCCCTCACTCGCCTCCAGGCCTTCGCACAGGCTGTTCATTCCCCCAGGATGCCTTTCGCTTCCACTCCTTCACCTGGCTAACTCAGTCTCATTCTTCAAGATTCAGGTCAGCCCGCATCTCTCGCAGATTTTTCTCTGACCTCCCTCCCTTCTTCCCCCAGGTCAGGTGTCCCCTTTTCTGGGCTTTTATGGTGTCCCTGTCACAGTGGTTCCCTCACTGATTGCTGTCTGCCTCAGTGGACTCTGAGCTCCCCGAGGACAGGAATGGTAAACAGAATAATGGCCCCAAATATTCCTACATCCTAATCTCTGGAACCTGTGAACATGTTACCTTACATGGCAAAGAAGAATGAATGCTGCAGGTAGAATAAAGGTTGCTGACCTTAAAACAGGGAGATCATCCTGGATTACCTAGGTGGACCCAATCCAATCACAAGATTCCTCAAAAGTGTGAGAGGGTGCAGAAGAGGCGAGGGTCGGAGGGAAATGTGACCATGGAAGAATAGTCAGAGAGGTGCGATGTGGCTGGCTTTCAAAAGGGAGGAAGAGCCAAGGAATGTGGGTGGCTCCTACAAGCTGGAAAAGGCAAGCGACATATTCTCCGCAAGAGTCTCCAGAAAAGAATGCAGCCTGCCAACACCTCGATGTGAGCCCAGCGAGGCCTGAGTGACTTCTGATAATCAATTTGTGTTGCTTTAAGTTAAGAAGTATGTGAACATTTGCTTCAGCAGCAATAGAAACACAGCCAGCACTGGCTCCTATTCCCCTAGAGTCTTCAGCCCCAGGCACAAAATAGGTGCTCAGTAAGTGTCGAAGAAGGATAAGTACGATGTCCCTCTCTCAACCACGGTCTTCCCATCTGTAAAATAGGCAAGTCAGACAAGGCCAGAGGTTTTCACCCAGGTACAGCCATATAATCTATGGTTATGATTTCCAGCTCTTACGAAGCCTAATGGAAGCCATTCTGGTTTCCCTAGACTGGTTGAAAGCTCTGAGTCTATTTAACATTTAGGGATGTAAAGGAAGAGGAGAATAAATGAGACTCATTTTTATAGGTGAGGCATCTGCAGATAGGGAAATAAAACAGGAACTTAGAGGAGGAAGAAGATGACATTTCTCAATCTTAGAAATATTCTAATGCCAGGAGGCTGTAGAACAGGGGACACCAGCCCAGAGCATGTAAACATAAGTCAGTGTCAACACCATCTTCGGTACTCACACTGAACACAGGGTAGGTCCTCTATCACTATTTGCAGAATGAATGGATGGCTGTCTATAGCCCCCACTCCGAAGGAAAGAAGGTCCTGGCGCTGTCCTGGCCGTAAGCTCAGAGGGGACGATGTAGCACATGCCCAGAAGGGGCTATTTTCACATTGAGGTGGGGAGCGGTCTTCAATTTGGCAGACTGGTTGTCTCAATTGGCCTGGTAACCTCTTTCAATGCCCCTCCAAGTAATGTCAAACCCCAACAGTTACCCTCCACCCATGCAATTCTAATGACAGTGGTGAGAATGGGAACGGGAGCTGGAGGCCATGTCTGCCATCCGAGAACACGCAGACACACGACGCCTTCCCCACTCCACCCGGCCTCTCCCAGGGCACTGGCTCCCCTGGGTTCCACTTCACCGTGCCGCCTGGGGTAGGTGCTTTCCTTCTCTGGGTCTCTTTCTTCGTGTCCCATGGAGTCGGGCGAGGTGTGTTTCATTTTGTTTTCAGAAATTTAATCATTCACTGTCACCTTCATGAATTTTAGCATATCCTAGTACCATTTGTACTCTTAGCACTTACTGTTTTTCTTCAAATCCACTCACTTTAAAAAAAAAAAAGAAATTACATAATTGCATTTTAAAGGGAGACTCTATGTTACCATACTGGTTATGAGAATAGAGCCAGACTGCCCGAGTTCAAGTTCTGGCTCTGCCACTTACTGATTACGGGACTGGGCAAGTTATTTAACTATTTGCCTCAATTTCCTCCCCTAAATTTCCTCCCATCAGTACCTCTCTTAAAGAGTTGAGCTAGACTGAATGAAATAATACACGTAAATCCCCTGCACAGGACTAGCACTTCGTAGGTGCTCATTAAGCAACAGTCATCACTGCTATTTTTGTGGTCATATTATATTATTATTATACCACCACTTTAAATGGAAAAATCAGTATCAACTGCTACAAATAGAATGAAACTCCAGAAATAAACCAATGGTGCACTGGGTGGTTTTTATATTATTTTATTTAAATAAATATATGTATATTTATTATTAGAATAGCTAAAGCATATTTTTATATAAGTCATGTAATATATAACCACATAATAAATGTGCACTTGTTATATAAAATATATTTTATTTTTAATGTTCTGTTTCTATAAAAATAAACTTTTTTAAGAAATAAAAAGTAAGTAATGAAAACAAATTCTGGGGACATCTGGTCACCTCCTGAAGGCCCAGTAAGTCTTTCCTCTTTCTTTCTTCCAAAGTAAGATTGCCATGCATTGAAATGTGTTAAAGACATCATCCCAGAGGGAGATTTTCTCTCTGGGTCCTCAAAAGGTCAGAGGAGAATTCAAAAGGGACTGACTGTCTCCCCACATGATTCCATGTTATTTAGCTTTAGTCTGTGACAACGTGCGTCCCAACTGCTGTCTGTATCCCAACCTCTGGGAGCAATGAGCTAACCCAGCTCTTCCTTGATGTGCCTCAGTTTCCCCATCTGTAAATGGGGATTCTAGGTCCTATCCTGTCTCGCTCAGAGGCTGTTCTGGAGATACAAGAGATAACAGATGTAGGGCATCTTGGGAAAAGTAAAAGGTGTTACTGCTATTATTATTTTTATTACTTATTATTTATTTTTATTCATCATGTCAGGCAAAGCTCAAGTCACAGCCTCTGTGCAAAGATATCTTCCCTCTCCTGGTCTCTTCCTGAATCTACTACCATCACCCCAAGAATAACAACAGTCTCCAGGCACCTACTGTGCCCCAGGCCCTCCGCTCACACCCACTTGCTTAGCCACACGATGATACTAGAAGCTAAGTAGAAACACTCCATTTTGCAGATAAAGAAACTGAGGCTGATCTTGCCCAAGATCAGAGAGAAGGAGACAAAGCCAGGTTCCAACCCAGGTCTGGATCAGCCAAGTCTGCTCTCTTCCCCTGTAACCCGGTGCCTTATCTGCTTTGGGGCCACCAGTCTTGGGGATGGCCTTCCCAGCTGCCTGTCCTGTGCTGTTTCCAATGGGTCCTAAAGAAGCTGTTTACCTCTCACAGACCAAAGCTCACAGTCTGGGACACCCTTGGCTTTCATAAATTGGCTCAGCTGGCCACACACACTGTAACCGTTTAAGAGGCAGCCAGTAACGAGGAAGAATGTTCCAAGTTAACGGGACTCCGAGCTCTTGGCCAGAGCATTACCTGTTATAGGCCTGAACCCCAGGGGCTCATAAGCTCAAGTATTGGGGGAAGCATGCCGTGAAGGGGCCCAGGAGGCTGTAGGAAGGAAAGCTGGCCACTCTCCACTCACGATTACCCGGGCAGCCTAGCCTGGAACCACAAGAACCCAAACACCGTCAGCCAGACGTGGGCCCCTCGAAATGATTTTTGTGAAACTTAATCGACATGTTTCCATTCCTTCCCAGTGAGCGCAGCCTGGCTGGGCCTTTAACTGCTCCTCAGCAGAAGACAGTGTGAGGCTGGAAAGGAAGAGGTGAGACAAGCCAGCGCCAGTCTGCGGCCTCTGGTTCCCCCCGCCCCTGCAACCCGGAGCCAGAGAAGGAGGCGGCAAAGGGAACAGCCGAACCCGGCCCTATATGATGTTCATGGACCTTCCCAAGGACCTCGTATGGTGCCAAAGGACATAGAGAAGCATCTGTTTCCAGCAGTTCCATCCGGGCGTGGGAAGAGAGGAGTCAGGCTTTTGTACACTTCTGTTTCAATATCTTTGCAATGAGCCTCTATTATTATTGTAATCTTAAGTATTATCTTTACATAGTAAATAAACAAATATGAAGTGCACAGGTTGATGCCTATTCACCTACATACGTAACCCTATAACCACTACCCAGGCCCATATACAGGATTTCTACTACCCCCGAAAGAGGCCCCTCTCAGAAGGCACCGCCACCCCAGAGGTTACTCCTCTTCTGACTACTGGAATTTTTTAAAGGAAAAATCCCCACACGTTCTGATCTCCACCGTGGAAAACGCATGCCAGCCAAGAGGCCATCCAAGAGTGTTCACTGT